CAAAAATTTCAGTTGAAACATCAGGGGAAAGTGTGTCTTCAAAATGGCGCTATTAATTTTGCTTAAACAGTCACAAAAAGTAAAAAACTTAAGATGAAGAATTCACTTGAAACAATTATGAGGCTGAAATGGAAGTTTTGGGATTTCACCATACATTGGTGAAAACTGTAATAACTTTTTTATTTAATTTTTTTGTGCCTATCCTAATTTTTAAGTGCAATTTACAAACCAATTTCTAGACATTGCATAGATTTTTTGAGGCAAGACAGGTACATTTTGATCATCTAATCTGATCTACTTCACAACACAAACCACAATTAAAGGAGAATTAGATGTACCCCAGCTACCAAAGCATCCCTGGAATTTGAATCCAGGAACTCTGGCATTCAGAGCCGGGGCATAGCTCTAAGACATGGAGTCACAGCCCCCCTCTCTTCCTCCCCCCCCCCCGACCATTAGAGCTTACCAAAAAAAAAAGTCCTGTAATATTTTCCCAACCTTACCTCCTTTGGTCCTCTAATTGACCCAGTGTAATTGCTTAATCCTGATGTATAGTTGCTCCACTTGCTACTGAAATGCAGTCTTTGTGAGAAGAACATGACAACTGATTAGCAGTATCCAGGGTTTATTACACTCTAGTTTAAAGGCAGGAAATGAAGACTATGGTGTATAACTGAAAGTGCGGGGAAATTTTAGGTCGGTAGAACATCATAATGCATACTAGAATCTGCCCAGGACTAAAGTCCATGTCTAAACATTTCTAATACACCCATTACTGTGGTATCAGTGAAGAAAATTAAACACAAATGTTAATGAAAAACTATTCATATCCACTTTACCAAACATTCCTACTTTTGTGAGAAGTCCCGTGGAATATTCAGTGATCAAAAATGGTTACAAGGTTGGTTGTTTCTCATCTGAAAGTTAGTGTTCCCTAATACAGTGGTAGGATAATATTACAGACACGGAAGGAAAACTGCCACTTACTGACTGTTTTCCTGTACTATCTCGATTTTCCTTCCAGGTCTCTCACTGAAGTACTGACCAAACCTATCTTATTTTACCTTGTGAAATCTGACAAGATTACAGCTCAGGGTAGTATGGGTATAGCTGTATTGCACAGCAGTTTAGAGGAAGAAAGGAAGAATACTGCTTCCATTTGAAACTTCATTGGGACTTTAGGGAGGCAGAATGTAATTACTCTGATCATGGTCAACAATCCTATCCTACCGAAAAAGCATCTTTGGAATGTTACACTCTCACATGAACTCATGCCCGTTCCATACATGGAACCTGAAATACGGTTGGTTTCCTTCAAAATTAAGCCACCTTAACAACTTTTTAAAATCAAATTTTGGCTTTTCAAAACTAGTCTCACCTTCTTGACTAAGATTGTCTGTGAGGGGGAGACTGTCTCTGTCAATAGCCTGGGTACTGCTGTTGAATGTTACAGCCTGCAGCAGCAAAGCACCACCATGAGAAATTCTGTCAGGAAGGGTTTGAAAATGTTAAAATTAAACTTTTTATTTTAAAATTTAGGTTTTGAAGATTTGTGGGCAGGAAAGTTACAGTTGAAAAGTTCTGGGATCCTTAAAAATTGAAAGCAGTGTTTTAGTCATTTAATCTGTAATGTAAAATTTGGAATCACTTGTTCTGATGACAGCTTTAAAGTACATACAGTTTTAAGAAGCTATGGAAGGAGTGTAATCTGATCAGATACTTAGTGAAGAACTGAAGAATTTCTTGTAAAGATTTATGCGTGGAATAGTTGCATCTTGGCTTCCATCAACAATGTATTCCATCATGAACACCCACACATCATGTGAATCAGTTTTACCACACACATTCCTTTGTTGCAAAGAGCAGCCTTACTGTGTGTGTACAAATTAATTCCATCATGAAACATATGTGACAGGTGTAAAATATAGGGGAATACAGCACAGCTTAAAATGAATGTGGTTCATGAGGCACCACTAGCTGAAATTCATATTTTGCTCCCCACCCTAGTCTTGTATTATGTAGGTGGTGGTTGGTGACTCCATAGTTAAAGTTTGCATTTAAACAGAACCAAAAATGCCTTTATTTCACACTTTTGATGACTAAATTTAGAGTCCAGACATGGCACAATAACTTTTCATAGGACAACTGAATTTTGCATGTCAAATGAAATATTTACTATCTTTTGCAGAGCAGATGTTTAAAAGGACACCCTTTCAGAAATGTTGCTATTTTCCTCACATTTTTTTGTATTCCTGTAGTTAACCAGATTCCTCACAAATCCCAAATCTCTCTCTCTCTCTCTCACTCACAAAATATCTTGGACATAGACAACTTTTGATTCTTACACAGAATAACTGTTTTGAGCTGTGCAACCATAAGTTTGATGAAACTTTTTTGAGTTGTCTGCTGCTTTTGATTTCTGAATGACATTGCCAGCCTTGCCTGCCTTGACTCACAAGCTGTGCTCTATACGTAACTGGTGACAGAGAGAAGCAGAATGGGCAGCAGAGAGAGTTGGGCTCTGGTGAGAAGGGGAGCAGTGTTTGGGAGCATCAGAAGTTGGGGAGTCTTTGGGGAGCCCTGGAAGGGGTTTAGCTGGTATGTGCTGGGACTGGGGGGAAATATCTAGCATCTAGAGGAACCTGGGGGTGAGAGAGGCCTGCATTGTTTGGAGCCTGAGTTTTGGAAAGGAGTTTTGTCTGTGGGGAGGAATTGGGACTTAAAGGGTTGTTGCTGCCTTACAGGGGTGCCTGCAGTTCTCCTAGTCACTAGTGGACTCTGTGATGCATACTCTGCAGGCATCTTAGGAGGTTTCTCTTGTTGCTTCTTCAGCAGCTGGCAGCACCAAGTGAAGGAAGCTAACTGTAGCCCTAGGCTCCTCCCAGGCCATCTGCAACAAGCTCCCATCACTAATCCTCCAGCTGCTGCAAGCCTTCTACTCTACCCACCCCCCAGCTGTGCCAAGCTATCCCACACACTCCTAACACTGCAGACCACCCTAGTACCCTGACTGCCTCAACAGCCCAGGATCACCACCCATCCACCCCCAGCTATACCTAGCTGCTCCAGAACCAGTTGACGCTCCGCTCCCAAAGTGGCTGTAGCTGCATTTCTCCCGCTTTCCTTTCCCCTCCCGTTACGTCCCAGCTCTCTGCTACAGGGAGACAGGAAGATGGTTGCCATTCAGGAGGCTCTGGAAGCAGCTTCTCCCTCTGGTGAACCTCCTGTGAAAACGTTTTTCGAATAGCTTTTCCAATGTAGTGCACACAGGTATGCGCTCTATAGCGATGGTATTCGAATGCTTGAGAGATCTAGCCCTCTTGGTTCTCCCATGAACTTGTAAGGATTATACCTCAATGCAGTGTGTGTATTGTTAGATGGAAAGCTCAGAAAAACTAAGCGGTATCTTGTAAACAAAAAGGAGAAAATACTGGTAAAAACAAAGAATAAAATATAGAACGTCTGCCTTACTCTCATGTGGGCAAGTTCTGAAGAGAACCTTACTACAGTTGGTTAGAACTCCTAATGACAAATGGGAAAACTTAGTGGTGATAACGCTTACAGTCCTTGTCTGTGCCTCCATTTGTTTCTTTTCATTTCCCCCTAGCTGTTGACAAACTGTCCAGAGGAGAGCTGCTTTCTCCATTCTCCCAAAAAAATCTCTTTCCAGGGGGGCCTGGCTCTTTTCAATAATGAAGCCATGTTCTTTGTTAGTCTCTTTCTGAAGAACTCCTTGTCGTTGTCTAGAGTTCTTAGCTCCCAGACATACAGAACATGTCTAAATTTGTTTAGCTGTATATACGCATGCTATGCATGCCCCAGTTGTTTTCTTAGCTCCCCTCTTTGAAGCCTACCTTTGTAAGAAATCAGTGGCTCACCTGGTTCCTCTGAGGGACTTCTGGTGAGGCGTGGTCTGCTCGAGCCCCAAGACTACAGGACAACTGACTTCCACCAAGGACTTCTGGCTCAGCAGTACATTAGATGGAAGGCACCAAAAGAGGAGGCACAGAGCCAGGAATATAGGCTTTTGTGGAACTACATCAGTTGAGCCATGAGGAAAGAGAATATGCTCTTTTCAGCTTTTGTTCCTGCTTTTCCATTCCCAGCAAGCGTGTGTGTGCGCGTTCTGAACAGAGGGAAAGTGGGGTGTTGGAGCTTGATGTTGATGGGTGTGAGGTAGGAGGAGGAAGAGTTCTGAGCCTGGGTATGGAGGAGGTGTAGGTGTCCGAAAGAGAGAGAGAGCGTAGGAGTGATGAAAGGGTAAGAGATTTGAGGTGAATGATTTGGGACTAGGAGTGAACAGCACAATGGTCACAAAGGAATAAAAATTGTTCTCCTACTGTGCCCTTTATGTAAAAGTGTCCCAGCTCTTCATTTTGAGAGGGGGAGAGGATGCACTTTTTGCTTCCCACTTCTCCCCCAACTCCTTTGTCCTCCACTGAAACACTTCATGGTGACACCCCTGACTACAGTGTGCCAGTTTTTCACTTTGAATATAATATTAGCTTGAAAATGGGAAGGGGTTGCAGATTGCTACCTGCAGATCCTCCACTTACATTGGGCAACAGCCACTAATGACTATAAGGATACACTTGGGTGCAAACTTTCAGCACAGGCCTCTGATGTTTTGTGTGCAAATTGGGACGATGAATGCCCAGCTATTCGTTTTGTAAATACAAATAGTTTCATGCAGATTTAGAGTTTGGAGTGAGACTAAAAATTTGGCCCTTAGTGAGAATGCAGTTTTATGTTTTAATAGAATCTCTGGCTTCCATACTGAAGAAATCCCTAAAAATCAGCTTCTTGCCAGCATGTAAATTGGACCATTTTAAAAATATTGAATTGGGCCCCAAAGGAAAAGTTACTTTTTAGTAATAAGTCAACAGCAATTACCATATTAAGGGTTCCAACCGTGAAGTTAGATTGTCATCAAAACATAACAAAATTTGAATTCTTTTACTTTAGTGCCAATTTCTGGTATGTTGAATGCTAAATCCCTCCTGTTTGCTTTTTAGAAACGGATAAAATCCCTGTAATGCGTGGGCAGTGGTTTATTGATGGTACATGGCAGCCATTAGAAGAAGAAGAAAGTAATCTAATAGAACAAGAACATCTCAGTTGTTTCAAAGGCCAACAAATGCAAGAGAACTTTGATATGGAAGTATCAAAACCTGTAGATGGGAAAGAGGGTAAGATATTGCCTGAACTGTTGTTCATACCATTATTATTTATTTGTATTACTGTGGTTGTGAAACAGATTTCTATTAATATGAATGTTTAGTGTTTCTGTAATCTTGCATGGCGACTAGCAATTATTTGCTCTGGTTGCTTTTCCCATTTTTCAACGTAGCTTGATGGTTCTAGGATTTATTACTGAATCACAAAAATGGTACCATTCACAGCATTCTATGTAAAACTAAAATCATGGGTGAATTTCTTGTCATATCCCCATTTTGCCTCATTTCATGTTGTGGCTTTTTATTGTATCTGAAAGTCTCACTTGAAACTAAACTTTTCTGTCCATGGGCCAAGAAAAGTGCTGATGACCTCAGTCTAAACTGGCTCTAAAAGTCCACCTTAATTCTACCCTGAAGGGAGCATCATTTTCACAGATCAGATATTTCATTTTTCATTCTGGCTCAATACAGGACTTTATCAGCGTTGTTTGCAATTTTATTAAATTCTGTGTGTTGCTTTTGTGATGGAAATCCCTGTATTTTAATGACCAGGCTGAAAACACTGAGCTGATGTTTCTCAAGGTTAAGAGTCAAAGTGATTTCACATTTTTAAGATCACCCCGCTGAAATTACTGTTGTTGAACTAATTACCACAGGCAGTAGAATCAGTTGCTCTGGGTAAGTACAGCACAACAAAAATTCAGTATTCTTAACTTTCTAGTTTTTGTCCTTGCTTGCCACTATTTGTCAAGTTCCCATTAAACCAAGGACTGCAATTACAGGGGCTTCAAAATATAAATTAATTAAATAGCGCTTTAGAATTTATTTTTTTTATTAAGACAACTTTACTGTTAAACTTTTTTTTAAAATATACATTTAAAAATACTTTGGACAGAAATTACAGAAAGTGGCCCTGTGCTTGGAAGTGTTCCCCTGAGTAGTTAATTGGAAAAGTGGTGTATTATGTGTATAAATTCATTAAATGTTTTGTATACATCTGCTACAATTGATATAATAGTGTGCTACAATAAGCAGTCTTATCTTCTTAAGGCTCATATGTAGCTCTCATTAATACTAACTGATGGTAGACGAGACCTCTAATTGTCACTCATAGCTGTACTGTTTATTGAGAGCACTGCAGAAATTTGCTGATGCTAACAAATCAGCAACAGAAGTCCTAAATTCTCAGCAAAGATTTAACAGCAGAATAGTGAGACTTAATTACTTTCGCAAAATATACTATGGAATATTAATCTCTATTTTAAAAACTAACCTATAGTAAAAAAAAAAGCACATTGTTTGTATACCAGACATCAGTAATCCAGATTATACTATTGGAGCTGGCCCCAGCCATATGCAGAAGGTGGCTGTAGGCTGAAGAATTTCAGGGCAGAAATCCCCCTCACTCCCTGTAGACAGGAAGTAGTTTAGTTCCTTTTAACTGCTTTCATTTTAGGGGCAACTTTTTCTCCCTGATTTGGCTTGAAAACCCTGGGACGGTCTGTGGTATCCTTTATTCTAGTGATTGAGGCACATCCTCACTACCGTTTCATCTTCTCTTCTGTTGCCATTGCCCATCTGATCCTCTGCAGAAAATAAATGAATAGCTTATCAGATGTTTCTCACTCCATTTTTCTGCAATCCCACAGTGCAGCACTTGGAGTAGAATCACACTGCTTAAGTATATGCCAAGTGATGCTGCTCTCTCTTTAGACATGAATAATCCCAGTAGATGTGAACCCCCAAAAAAGTGCCAAGGAGAGCAAATGTATTCGTATTTGCTGTGTTGCAGAAAGTCATCGCAGTGCGTTCCATATGCACCAGTTGTGAAGGGCATAATACCTAGAGCCATAGCCCAAGTGTTACTCTCATAGCAGTGTCTTTCTTAGTTCTGTGTTTTCCCTTCAGGGGAATGTCCCACTCTGTAGGAGGAGGAAGCCTGAGTCAAGTTATCCCTTTCCTTAGTTCTGATCCTAGATTCCAATCCCTCATCAAGGAAAATAACCATGAATTATGCAGGACCTTTAAGACATATCAATGGTAGGTGGGCAAGTAAGAATTGCTTTGCTAGATTAGGGTATAGTCCATTAGTCAGGTGTCCTGTCTCTTGCAGTGGCGAGTACTGGATGCTTTAGGGAGGTGCAGGAAACCCCCTAATGGAATAACCTGCCCATGGTGGGATTTCCTTCTTTAAGCCTCATAAAATTAGAATCACAGAAATGTAAGACTGGAAGGGACCTCAATAGGTCATCTAGTCCAGCCCCCTGTATTGAGGCAGGACAAAGTATTATGTAGACCATCCCTGATAGGTGTTTGTCTTATCTAGTCTTAAAAACCTCCAATGACAGATATTCCACAATCTTGCTAGGTATTTGTTCCAGTGCTTAAATACCCTTGCAGTTAGGAAGAGTTTCCTAATGTCTAACCTAAATCTTGCTTGCTGCAATTTAAGCTTGTTAGTTCTTGTCCTGTTCTTAGTGGATAAGGAGAACAATTTATCACCCTCCTCTTGATAACAATCTTTTACATACTTTAAGACGGTTATCTTGTACCCCTTCGATCCTATCTTCTTCAGATTAAACAAGTCCGTTTTTTTCAACCTTTCTTCGTAGGTCAGGAAATCACTCTGAAAATCACTCTGAGGCAGTTTAGCATAGGTCTTATTCATTTAAATGAATTTTGAAATTTACTTTTTTTGAAATTGAGTGAGTTTCATGTTGGAAACCTTCACTTACCACATATTTGTTTTTGTTATGCGCTTGCATGTTTAAAATGCGGCTGTACTCCAATAACTGACTCTGTAAAAATTGCATTGTGGGCTACCTTGTTTGTTTGCTTCAGTAAATCCAGATCGGATTGATCAGATCAGAAACATTTTTTTAGGGCTGTCGATTAATCGCAGTTAACTCACATGATTAACTCAAAAAAATTAATCACGATTAGAAAAATTTACTGTGATTAATCGAAGTTTTAATCACACTGTTAAGCAATAGAATACCAAGTGAAATTTATTACATATTTTTGGATGTTTTTCTACATTTTCAAATATGTTGATTTCAATTATAACACAATACAAAGTGTACAATGCTCACTTTATATTATTTGTATTACTAATATTTGCACTTTAAAAATGATAAAAGAAATAGTATTTTTCAATTCACCTCATACAAGTACAGTAACTCCTCGCTTAACATTGTAGTTATTCCTGAAAAATGTGACTTTAAGCAAAACGATGTTAAGAGTATCCAATTTCCCCATAAGAATTAATGTAAATGGGGCAGGGTGGTTAGGTTCCAGGGAAATTTTTTTCACCAGATAAAAGACTGTTGTTTATTTTATTTATTTATAAAATATATATATACACACACAGAGTAAGTTTTAAACAATTTAATGCCGTACACACTGCTAAATGATGAACTAGCACTCAGCTGAGTCCTCAAGCGTTAACATGTTGTTAATCTAGCCTCACACTCTACAAGGCAGCACAAATGGAGGGAGGGAATACAGCATGGCTGACAGACACACACACCCTATGTGTGTGTGAGAGAGTGCATTGCTCCTTTACGTACGCTGACCCCACTCTAAGTACATTGCCTTTTTAAGTAGATCAGCAAGTTGAGACAGCAGCTGCCAGCAGCTCCCTCCATCTTGAGCCCTGTCGTGTGTCGTCCCCCCCCCCCCCCCCCGCTCTATGGAGATGGGGTAAGCAGGGGGGAGGGGGACACCCTGACATTAGTCCTCCTCTTTCCCCACCCCAACTCCGCACAACAAGCAGAAGGCTCCCAAGAGGGCAGGAGGAGCACATGGCAGTGGGGGGAGGGACAGCTGAACTGCCGGCAATTGATAGCCTGCTGGCCGGCTGCCACACGGGTTGCTAAATGGGATGCTACCAGTCCACCCTGGTTCCAAGCCCCCACCAGCTATCTCCAATGGGCTGCTCTTTCTGCAAGCAGTGGACAAAGCAGGCAGCTGCCAAATAACGTTATAAGGGAGCATTGGGCAACTTGAAATGAGCATGTTCCCTAATTGGTCAGCAACGTAACAACAAAACAACATTAACCAGGACGACTTTAAGTGAGGAGTTACTGTACTATAGTGCAATCTCTTTATCGTGAAAGTGCAACTTACAAATGTACATTTTTTGATACATAACTGCACTCAAAAGCAAAACAATGTAAAACTTTAGAGCCTACAAGTCCACTCAGTCCTACTTCTTCTTCAGCCAATCGCGAAGACAAACACGTTTGTTTACATTTACGGGACATAATGCTGCCTGCTTATTATTTACGTCACCTGAAAGTGAGGACAGGCCTTCACATGGCACTTTTGTAGCCGGCATTGCAAGTATTTACGTGCCAGATATGCTTTTGTATGCCCCTTCATGCTTTGGTCTCCATTCCAGAGGACATGCTTCCATTCTGATGACACTCGTTAAAAAAAAATGCGTTAATTAAATTTGTGACTGAATTCTTTGGGGGAGAATCATATGTCCCCTGCTCTGTTTTACCTGCATTCTGCCGTATATTTCATGTTATAGCAGGCTCGGATGATGACCCAGCACATGTTGTTTCTTTTAAGAACACTTTCATTGCAGATTTGACAAAACGCAAAGAAAGTGCCTATGTGAGATTTCTAAAGATAGCTACAGCATCGACCGAAGGTTTAAGAATCTGAAGTGCCTTCCAAAATCTGAGAGGGACTTGGTGTGGAGCATGCTTTCAGAAGTCTTAAAAGAGCAACAGTCCAATGCGGAAACTACAGAACCCAAACCACCACCAAAAAAAAAAAAATCAACCTTCTCCTGGTGGCATCTGACTCAGATGCTGAAAATGAGCATGCATCGGTCTGCACGCTTTGGATCGTTATCGAGCAGAACCCTTAATCAGCATGGACATGTCCTCTGGAATGGTGGTTGAAGCATGAAGGAACATGTGAATCTTTAGGGCATTTGGCACGTAAATATCTTGTGATGCCGGCTACAACAGTGCCATGAGAACACCTTTTTCTCACTTTCAGGTGACACTGTAAACAAGAAGCAGGCAGCATTATCTCCTGCAAATGTAAACAAACTTGGCTGAACAAGGAGTTGGATTGAGTGGAGTTGCAGGCTCTAAAGTTTTACATCGCTTTATTTTTGAATGCAGTTTTTTTTAACATAATTCTATATTTGTAAATTCAACTTTCATGATAAAGAGATTGCACTACAGTACTTGCCATGGGGGAATTGAAAAAATACTATTTCTTTTGTTTTTTATAGTGCAAATATTTGTAATAAAAATAATATGAAATGAGTACCGTACATACACTTTGTATTCTGTGTTGTAATTGAAATCAATATCTTTGAAAATGTAGAAAACATCCAAAAATATCTAAATAAATGGTAATCTATTAACAGCGTGATTAATCACGATTAACTTTTTTAATTGCGCAATTAATCAAAATTAATTTTTAATTGCTTGACATCCCTTAATTTTTTTTTTTTTTTTTTTTAAGGAGGATTTTTTGATTAATTGCCAACCTGACAAATTCAACCTGGGAAAGTAAAACCAGGTATTTCCTGACTAGTGTATAATCATCAGGCAGTGACAGACTGCAGACCAAATTCTCTCTTCAGTTACCCAAGTGCAGCCCTTTTGAGCTTGATTCTCTGCTCTCATACATCAGCTTTACACTTCTGTAACTTTCTTCACATGGTGGATCTCCTCCCAGTTTATACTGATCTACGTGAAAGGAGGAATGAGGCCCATTGTTTTTAGTGGGGTTGTGGAAGTTTTACCTGTCCCTTCAATTGGAACGTAGTGATTTTGTTGATTCAGGAACCAGAATAGAGAATCCATTTCGTTCTCTCAGAATTTAATCACATATTCTTAGCCATATTGGCTTTCTGGAGCTAAAAGGTTTCTTTAATAAAAGGGAAAGCTTCCTTAAGGCTTGTCCCCACTAATTGGGGTGTAAATTCTAGTGCACACCAGCATCTAGCACATTAGCTGACCCATGTGAACCCTGCTGGCACTCACTAAAAGTTCTTTAGTGCAAGTTAATGTAGTCCTGTTTCAAGCAGTACTAAGTTAACCTGTGGTAGGGAACTTTTAGGCTACGCCTACACTACCCGCCTGAATCGGCGGGTAGAAATCGATCTCTCGGGGATCGAATTATCGCGTCTCGTCGGGACGCGACATTCGATCCCCGAATCGACGCTTGTACTCCACCAGGGGAGGTAGGAGTAAGCGCCGTCGACGGGGGAGCCGCGGAGGTAGATTTGCCGCCATCCTCACAGCGGGGTAAGTCGGCTCCAATACGTCGAAAGCGTAGCTGAATTTGCGTATCTTAAATTGACATTTCCCACCCTCCCCACCCCGTAGTGAGGACATAGCCTTAGTGTGTGCTAGCAGGGTCCTCACCTACTAATTAGTGCACAACATGCTACTGTGCATTAGAATTTACGCCCCAGCTAGTGTGGACTGAGATACTATGTAGGCTGGCCTTAGTCACTAAAGAAAGAAGATATGATTGAATGAATACATACAGAACAGTTGTACTGAGTAAGAAGATGCCATTTTTACAGAGTCAATTTTGGGGGAGAGCCTCACTTTCAGACTAGCTGCTGGAAGCCCCAAATAAATACAATAGCAGTTAATCAAAACTGACCTTTAAGGTACCTATTGTTTTCCTGTTTCACAGGTGTGTGAGAGCAGTTTCTTCCAGATCACCTAACTTTCCGCCTGGTGGGATACCGTAACTTTCATTCCTCTCAGGGTGTCCCTTCCATAACTGAACAGCACTGGTGCCCCCCTATGAGGGTAAGGTAAGGCCATCAAATGTTGCAAAGTAGTCCCAGGGTTTTCTTTTCAATAGTCTTGTTTTATATCCTAGAAGGAATGAAACAAGACTAATGAAAACCTTACAAAAATGATGGACTTGCCTTACCACCATGAGAAAACTCCAGTGTTGTTCAGGAATGGAAGGGATATCTCAAGCAGAGTGTATGCTGGGCTGTCTGACTGTGAGAGGCAGCTGTTTACAGACTATGAAACAGGAAAACAGTAGGATATTTTAGCCTAACTAACTTCCCATGACCATATCCTCATACTACTGAGGGAGGCATCCAGCAGCTGTCCTTAAAGCTACTAACTTTTTTATTGTTTACAGATTACTTTTAAGATTCCTGCATACTACCCATTGCACGAATATACTACATTTTGTTTTTGTACGTGCTAATGCAAAGGCACTGAGTGAGTTGATAATCACATTGCAGCATGGTTTGTCTTTTACTGATGGTGTTAGATGTGCCATACCCAGGATGATATAAATGTTTGTTTTATGAGAACTGAAGAAATAACATTTGGCTAAGATGAATTGACATTTTTGCTACAAAATCCATTTAAAAAAAAAATTATATGCTTGCAGTATTTTTGATTTTCCAAATCTGACAATTCATTTCAGTGATGATGATACTAATGAAAAGAGAAATGATGCCCCTTTTTAAAATTTTACTTTGAAGCTCAGTGTTTTTACTTTTAGTTGTCTACCACCTCCCTCCCTTCTCCCTCCCTTCTCTGTTCAAATGGAGAGGATATAAGGAGAGTACAGATGCTGCATGTCTTAAACGAAAGCGTTCCCAAGGTACAGTAATTGTAGATTTCTTTCTTGTAGTTTCCTCCTGGCTTAGGAAGCTTTAAATTGTAGCTTGTATATTTCAGTGAAATGTGTTAGATCTCTGTGCTTCCAGTTCTTGCGTCATCTTCCCTCAGAAGGGGAAGAAAAAGCATTTTGAATCTTAGAGGAAAAGTAGAAGCATTGTGACTCTTAGAGAAAAGTAGAAACTAACAATATATATATGTGCTAACACTTCGTTACAGTGTTTGTGACAATTATGAAAAAATTAAACATTATTTATTTTTGCAGCACTGTTGGTATGTATGGAGCTTTTCAGTCAATGAGACAGGGTCACTGCACCAAAGAGCTTACAATCACAAGTAGATGTGACCTAGAGATAAATTATGTCAGAAGAAATAGGAGCTAAAGGAAAGAAACACTAGATAGAATTAAAAGGTTGCTTTTTTGTGTGATCACTTTTTTTGTGTAACATTCATCGTGTTTCTCCTTTTTTTAAAATTTTTTGACATTTTAAAAATGTAGATTTCTGTGTTTTTTCACTTAGTTGCACTGTATGTATGTTTTCCTTTTCTTTATTAAATTAATATTTTGCAATGGGAGTCAGCGCTGATCTGAAGTGAGGCTTCAGGCAATTGAAAGAGAAAGGGAAGGCTGTTGCACATGGGATCAGGACATTATTCCTCAGAAAAAGAAACGTGGAATTTAAGTAATTGAACTCACATGATGTAAATCAGTGCACTTCATAAACAGGATGGATCCTTAAGAACCGTTAGTGATTAGGGGTAGGTTTTCAAAAGTCCCACTCAGCATTGGCTTACTTCTGCTCCTTTTGAAGCCAATGGTAAAATCCTGTTGACTTCAGGGGGAGCAGAGTTAGCCCTATACTGAGTGAGTTTGAAAATCCCACCCTAGACCTACAGTTTAAATTTAGATGGTAGCTGTGACGTTATTGTGACTTGTCCCTGTATTCGCCTAGATCTGGATGACCCTGGATATAGATGTGTTTAAGTATGTCTCACCCAAAAGACTATATCATTTGGCACATAAAAATATTGCCCCTCTGACTTCTTTAATTGCATTTTCCTTAATTGAGTCCAAAATGAAAATCTCTGAAAGCAAGCTGTTCATATTTAGCTCTTGTGTACCACTTTTCATCGATGGGACTCAAAGCTCTTTACAAAGATAAACAAGGAGTCCCATGTTAAAAATTGGGAAACTGAGGAGCATAAAGGTTGGCCTTTCTAACTTCAAAACATTTTTTGGGATTACTTGCAGTATGTAAAATAAAGCACGAGTAAATCTTTGTGGGATTGGATCTGTAATCATTTAATAATTGTACTGTTGTCCTGCATTTTTACTTATGTACAAGAAATATAACTCTAATAGTAACACTTGGTTTACCCAAACGTGCAATTGTGATCTTCAATGCATTTAATTAAAAGTGGTATATTGTGACACTGACAAATTGATATGCCAAGGAATAAATTGAGGTATAATGTAAATAATGTGAACAATTTAGAACAGCCCTATTTACTTAAGAACAATGGTCTTTTTAGGTTGAATGGCAACGCTTTTGTTTCTTTAAAAATAAAACTGCATTTTAGATCAGCAGAGATTTTAGCCTCAACTTTATGTATCAGGACTTCAGAATTGTCCAGACAAATGGCCAGATGTTACTCCTGGTTATACTATGGAACTCCTGCTGATGTCACTAGGAAATCATGCATGTATTTAAGAGGAGAATTTGGTTCTAGATTTCATAACGCATCTGCATCTCCTTCACCTTGTTGCATGTGGTTGATAATGTGGAAGCAGAGATGAAGCCTGTGTTACTATTATCCACAAAACTTCCAAAATGAAACATTTTTATAAATAAATATATAATGTGTGAACATGTAGAGATAAAAATTAAAAGTAAATTTGTTAAAGCGTCCCTCTCCTTTGGATATTAGATCTGACCGAAGAGGGTTTCCTTTTTGCACAATTGTTACATTAATTGCTACAGCACTTCAGGGATTGCAGTTATCTGGATTGATTTTTGTAGATTTTTACAGAAGAAATAAAAAGCAATAAATTTTACACTTTGGTTCTGGTTAGCAAGTGCAAGATGAGCAAATGCTTTTCAAATATTTATTTTAAAAGGTATTTAACTTTGAACTCAACAGACAAAAGGGAATATACTGTATTCTCACATGATGGACTCAGACAGTTCTACTGAATGTCAGTGGTAGATCTACATGCTGCTCATGGCGAAAATAGGCCCTAATCTTTAACATTAGTTTTATATCCAATGCTAAATATGCAGAGAAATATTGTTGCACTTTTTGCTTGCTTTTTACAATACATAGATTTATAGATTCTAGGACTGGAAGGGACCTCAAGAGGTCATCGAGTCCAGTCCCCTGCCCTCATGGCAGGACCAAATACTGTCTAGACCATCCCTGATAGACATTTATCTAACCTACTCTTAAATATCTCCAGAGA